AAATGATTATTAATTTGTCAAAATTTATTTAATCAAAGTAGATTATTAAGTAGGTACATCTTATAGCTTCTGAAGTAATGAATGACAAAAGGAGGGATTTAAAACTAAGAGATCTACTGGCTTAGCTCACCAGCAGAGAGCTGGTTGAAATGAAGTGTCTTTATTTTAATGTCCCACCTGTTCAATCTTGTACTTTTTGGTTAGTGATGGTAAGGGAAATTAGTAGAGTTGAATGTAATGAACGGACAATAAATGGTTTAGCATAATTCTGTCTGAGCCTAGCAAAAACCCCATTCTCTCCCCAGTTTTGTCCCCCTTCAAACTTGCCAAGCCTTGTTCACTTTGGCTTTATTTTAAAAATGCATTTCTGGTGAGTGAGGAAAGGTTTTGTACTGTGTTTTCAATGACTCACCCAAAATAACTCCATTCAACTTGTAAACGGTCCTGTTCTGAATGCAGATTGTGTTTGTTCTGAGATGGGCATGAAGGAGCTGCAGAAGGGAGATTAGAGAAGGGAAATGTGGTGGGAGAGTGCAGTGCAGTTCAGGCTCACATCAAAAATTATTTTTTAAAAAGACATTGTGTGTTTGTATGTTTTCAAGAACCGTTTGTGATATCTGCACCATTTAAAGCTTTTCAAGATACATCAGTATTAGATAGATGGATGGTTCATCTAGTCACTGACCTGTTTTTTCCTGATCCTCATAAAATGTGGAAGAAGATATTTACTTGTAAATATATAATTCCAAATATGCAGAGTGAAATAATAAATTTTTTTTTAAGTTCTAAATGGCTTCATATACGAAGTAATCACATATATAAGAGCTAGAAGTAATCTTAAAATGGTAAGAAAATGTCTATCAATACATTATGATCACACAACAGGACAGTGTTAAAACTGGGAAATGCAATAATGACATCCTCCTGTTGTGTTCAGTACTACAGAAAAATGTTTACTCTCAAGTGGCACAGATTGAGCATTTGACATCGATAGATACACCTCTTTAAAAGCTTTTATGATTCAAAAGGTCAGATATTTAAAAGCAATATCTTAGGGAAGGCCTGAAAATAAAAATAAAAAAAGGATAGATCTAAATTTGAGCATTAAGACTTCACAGATGAATTAAAAATATTTTGGCACTTCTATGTGTAACTATATCTAGTTATCAGGATTTCAAAACCTCTTTTGAGTTGTTTCACAAATTCATACAACAGACGAAGTGAAGCCCATTCTGTTATATAATCTTGCTTCAATCCATTGTTGATGAAGAATAGATGAGCCATTCTTACCTGTTGCTCAGAAACACCAGAGAATTGAGCCACTGAAAAGAAAACAAGCTGTCTACAAGGTTTTATCATGGAGAGGGTAAATTTAGCATTATGTGGCAAACTAAAGAAATTGTGATTTGGGAATGGTCAAATGAGTGATAAAATGACAAGTCTTCAATATGCATAAAATCAGAAAGTGTATAAACCTACTCAAATTATGTAAATAAATCACAAGGCCAAGTTTCTGTGGTATTGACACCTGCTTCTCTCTCTGGTATGTCCTTGGGAACATAAAGGAAATAAAAATATCATATTGTTATGCTATATTAATACGTCCTTATGATGTCAATGAGCTAGTATAATAATCCTTGAATTTTTGCTACTATGGAAAAGCCATAGGAACAAATAATAGGTTTAAATTATAGACCTTAAATATGCAATTTTACTATATATACAATAACCAGAAATACTTGATTAATGACTTAAAGAAATATATCAAAAAACGAATCTAAATCAGATTAACCACCTTTCCTCACATTCAATTATATGATTTGTAAATAAATCTTCGAAAGTTTTTGAGCAATTTACTCCTTGAACATTTTCCTTTCGTTCTCTTTTAATCTATGACTCCACCGTTATTCCTGGAAATGTTGATATTGAGGGGACCCAAAAGATTTCATGTTGAAATGAATTTTAGAAATATTGGGTTAAACAAGTTAAACCTTTTTTTTTTCCCCCGCCTTTCTTTCTTTTTAAGTAATCTTGAGGACTTCTCAAGTCTCTAACATTCATTGTGACTGGGATGGGGTGGGAGTTGACAAGGATTTAATATGCTGTAGTTTCTAAACTTATTTCATATAGAATTCTTTCTCCAGGTAATGCTATTGAAATATAAAATGCTGCTCTATTTGTTGAATCTGCAATTCTACTCACCTTAAACCTCCCAGCTCCCTTTTGTCCTAATAAAGGGTAAAAATTTGGTAAACTGTAATGCTACCATTTTCTGATCAGATTCTGAATTATTGAGATTTCAATGCACAGAATTAAAAATGATTACATAGATATTATTGAAGAAACAATACAATAACTAGAACCAAAATGCCTCAGCTTACCTAATAGTAAATCTTATTTTGTAATTTTGAGGTATGTGTTAAAATCTGGAAAAGCAAAAAAATAACTAAATTAAACTGAGTGTAATGTTTCACTTTTGATATAAGTTTTTCCATTTAAAACTGCCTTATTTAACCAGTGTATGTTATCTATCCTAGCCTGAATTTATGCCATTTTAAAAAATTCAGCTGCATAAGCATGAAGATAGATGCCATTTACTAGTATAAGAATAATGTCCTAGTATGAAATTGATTTTTGCCTTCTGCAGTATAATAATTTCAATATCTATACTGGGCACCTACTTTATTCCATGTGATCCTCACATCACCTTGGGAAGGTAGTCATCTCTATTGCTATTTCACAAATGAGGAACGTGATGACCAGAGATATTAGCTGTCCTGCCCTAGACCATACAACTAGAAAGAGACAGAAACAGATTTCGAACTCCAGGCAGACATCAACCATCCTACTATTTCCACTACATTATGCTGGATGGAGTTATCCATATCTAACATAAATTTGTTTCTTCCTCCACCTTGTAAGCATCAGTGACTTAGATATTCTTTCTGTAGCTTCCACAATCAATGTGCATTTGCAGTTGGTCTACAATACAGTACTTGTTTGGAAAAAAATTCCTTGATGAAGCAAACATCTAGACTCTCCTCATGTGTGGTATGGCATTTATTATTGAATAAATGTAACACCTTGGGCATCTTTTTAAAATATCAAAGTTGAGAACACAATTAAAACCCCTTACTTTTCAAAATAGCTGTTTCAAGGATTCCCTTCTCCATTATTTCCATATCCTCAACATTGTGCATTAAAAAATTATGTAGAAGAAAACATACGATTGTGCTATTGGAGATTCAATAACTGCTGTATTCTATTCTAAAGTTACCTGCTGGCATTCTTTCCCCTTTCTTTATGACTTGACTCTGATTTCCACAAGAATTCTTTGTTGTTGTCTAAAAGTGTATTATTTAAACAACAAAAAAACAAGGTAAAAGGGAATAGGCCTTAGAGAAACGACACGAAACAAGTATTTTATCCATTCAACTGTCCATTCTGAAGAACATAAAGAAGAGAAAACGTGCTTCAAGAGAGCTCATTGTTCCTTGTGAGAGTGGCACTGTACTAAAAGTGTAAAAGGTGGAGGAAGAATACTGAGAAATGTTCTTTACTCTCACAGTTTACAATCTGTCTGGGAAGTCAAACATCCCCTCAGAGGCCAGTTATTATTTTCTGCACAATTCAGTCCCCAAATAAATGATGTAGACATTTGATTGTATATCAGGGCATTGTGGGAAAGATGTGACTGAGACGGGGGTGGGGGAGTGAAAGGAGTGGTGGGGGGTGTTGAGGCAAACTTCTGGTGCAGCTGGATCTTGAAGTTCATGAAGCTCTTAGAAAGAATAGGAGTGAACTTAAGAGGTGAGAACAGACTCCGCAATGGCTTGTGGAGATGAGGGACTTAAAGCTGGGAGCAGCAAATGCATAGGGTGGGGTCCAGCAGGGCCCTGAAGGAAGCTGTGAAGGCAGTCTACTTTGTTCTCCGTGGCTTTTGACCAGCCCTCTCAGTACCTCTTCCCTCACTGTGTAGCCCTTCCTCCAGGGCTTATATTGGCAGGCTATTAAACTGTTAGCCACACTTTGCTATAGGACTCTTGAAGGCTGAAAAATCTTTAAAATTCAAAGAAAAGATTAATAGTGAAATTTCAAACCAGTGAGATACTGTAGTATCCCTGTTCTAGCTCCCCTGATGTGTCGCAGAATACATAGGCCCAGAATGATATTAAGATGGTTCTGGAAAGTTAGTCTGGATTTTGGATATGATCTTCTAGATACTGATAAACCATTAGAAGTTTGTGTCTGATTTTGAATATTTTATAATCTTTCTGCTAATGAGATTTTTAAAATAACAAAAGGTAATGCTAAAAGCCATTTTAAAAATTGTTCTGAACCATGTTTCTTGTCGCATCTTTTTGCGCCAAAATCCAAGCACATATTTCTACATTTTCATAGAGCTATATACCTTGCTCTTTGTCTACCTCTCTACACGACCAACTCCAATGTGGAATTCTCAGCTTAAATATTCTTTCTCAATTCCTTTCCATATATAGCACAATCACCATCAATAACTTTCTTAGGAATGAAAGCTGCACTCCACGAAGCTTGGTCTTTTCCAGTTATGACATTTTGACAAGAAATACCAATTAGGCGCCTCTTTCTTTCATCTTTATCCACTATGCCATGGACACAATTCTTTGGACGCCTCGCAGAATAACTTTCAGCGAGCCCAGACAGACACTTGTTTTGACGCGGTGAAGAGGGACGTTTAGTGAGACTTTCCACATTGTTCTCTTATGGGATGGAGGAGAAGTTGCGAGGAAGAGACGTTCACTAACACACAAGCAAACAATCGTCCCACTCCGTGGGCCGCGAGGGTCTGCAAGCTGCTCCCCACTGCGCCCGCCGCGCCCCGCCCTGCGCGCCCCCGGCCGGAAGGGGGCGTGGGACGCCGCGGAGGGAGGGGCGC